CTAAAGCACTTCTGGATGGATGCAAACTGCATTTCGTTGCCCTGTACCTGTGCATGTGCAATGACAATAAAGTTGAACTCTATTCTATTCTATTCTAAATGTGAATATGCTACAGCTTCCACAAACCACATGCACTCAAAAGGGGTTTGCAACAAACCAAAAAGTTGGGATGTCCTGTCATAGTACAGTATAACTTAGGGCAGCACAAGGATATCAACACATTCATTAGAGAAGATTAGTAAAAATTCAATAGCTTAAAATTTGTCTCAACCACCCCCCCAAAAAAACATATTTTTATGGTTAAAAATCGAAAGAGAGGAATAAGCCTAAACAGAGCACTCTGTTATTTCATGTGAGCCTGATTTAAAGTTTTAAAAAGTTGGGACACTGTGTAAAATGTAAATAAAAACAGAATGCAATGATATGCAAATCTTATCAACCCACATTTCATTTAAACTGAGCACAGAAAACAAATCAAATGTTTAAACTGAGACATATCATGTTAATATAAATATTATCACATTTTGAATTTTTAGGGCAGCTAAATGACTAAAAAAAGTTAGGACAGAATCTTGTTTACCACTGCGTAGCATCCTCTTCGCTTTTAACAACAGTCCATAAACATCTGGGAACAGAGGAGACAGCTGCTGGATTTTTGAGAGAGGAATGTTGTTCCATTCTCATCTTATATAGCATTCTAGCTGCCCAAGAGTCCTGAATCATCATCATATTTTTTCATTCACGATGTGGCAAATGCTTTCAACTGGTGAAATTCTCAGCACCCAGATTCTTCTACTGTGCAACCATGCTGCTGTAATAGATCCAGTATGTGATTTAGCTGTCTTGCTGAAATATGCAAGGCTTTCCCTGAAAAAAGATATTGATTGGATTGGAGCATATGTAGCTCTAAATCCTATATACATCTTTCAGCACTTTACAAATGTGCAAGCTGCCAATTACATTACATCCCCATACTGTCACAGATGAAGGCTTTTAAACTGAGCACTGATAACAGGCTGGATTGTCTCCCTCTTCTTTAACCTGGAGAAAGCAGCATCCATGTTTTCAAAAAATGCCTCATAAAAAGTATTTCAAATTTCAATTTGACCACACGTTTCCACTTTGCCTAAGTCCATTTTCAAAAGCAATTTGGACAAGAGAAAATCCCATTGTTTCTGGGTTATGTTCACATATGGTCACTTCCTTGTATAATAGAGCTTTAACCTGTATTTGTATATGGTACAGTGAAATTTAATAATACTAAAGGATGTGACCTTTGGAAGCATCCCAAAATCAGACGCATCCAAAGCCTTGTCTTATGCACATAGAGATTTATCAATATTCTCTGAATCTTTTAATGATATTATGTACTGTAGATAATGAGATATTCAAAATCTTCATTATTATTGTCTGTGAAGGTTCTCAGTCATCCAGGTCATTGTAGTCAAAGGAGCTTGCAAAGAAAAGCGTCTGGACTTCTTTAAGCTGCTTGAAAGTTAAAGAAGCAACTTAAAGAAGTCCAGATGCTTTTCTTTGCAAGCTCCTTTGCCTTCATTATTATTAGGAACATTATTCTAAATTTGTTCCACAATTTCTAGATACAGTTTACAAAAAGAAACCTTTTTCTACCCAATCACGTTACTGACCAGTTACCAATTAACCTAATTAGTTGCAAAATGTTCGTTGAGCTGTCTCTTTTCAGTACTACTTACTTTTCCACACTTTTGTTGCCCCTATTCCAACTATTTTGAGACATGTTGCTGCCATCAAATTCAAAATGAGCAAATATTTTTTTCATGAAATAATAAATGTGTGATAAATATATTATTTTAAATATTTAATTTTAACTCACACTTTACACAGTATTCCAGCATTTTTTTATATTGGGGTTGTACATTGCTATCTGACCTGTACATGCCATGTTTGATGTTGAGTCAGACAATATTAAACCTCGAGATAGACATTCTGTTATGGCATATGTGTGTATACTTGTAGTGTGGAATCTGAATGATTATTGTGTATCTTTATGTTTTTTATGATAATATAATCCATTTTCTTGTTGTTGTCAACCTGTAAAAGATTTACTATTCATTCTATTTTACATTTAACTTATTTCTAACATTTAGCTTTCAGAACAGTATCATTGCTTAACATGTCTTTCATTTTGTTCTTATCTTAAAAAACAGACAGGCTGTACTAATGTAAGACAGCACTGGCATAGTCAGCTTCTTTTTATTGTTCTATTTCCCTGTAACTCATGTGTTTACCCACATTTTTAACTGTTTTACAGAGTACTCAGAACCACAATGTAACTGCACCACCAGCACATGCTCCATGTTCGCCACCAGCCTCTACTATCTCTACCCCTTCAATATTGAATACCACATTTTTGTTTCTGTCTTGCTTTTCGTGATGTGGAGAAATATTGGACGCACCATTGACCTCACTTCAAACCATAAAAGGCAGGTTGCCAAAAACCGGGGCTTGATCTTAGGTCCTCTTGTGGGTCTACTTGCCCTGGCCAGCAGTATCGGAATACTGGTGGTCTACGTTACTCATGTAGAGAAGTCAATCCAGATGCGAAGGTCAGCCGTTTCCATGTTCTACATTTATGCCATCGTCATGCTGACGGTCATGTGCTGCGCCGGTGCTTCGGGTCTGCTTATATACCGAGTGAACCACATGCCGCTGGACACCTCCAAGAACCCGTCGAGACAGCTGGACACGGAGGTGCTGTTTGGATCCTCCATTGGCTCCTGGTTCATGTCATGGTGCAGCATAGTGTCTGTGCTAAGCACCGGAAGCAACCCTCCTTACCGCTGGACAAATTTGGTCTACTCTCTGTTTATTGTGTTGGAGAAATACGTCCAGAATCTCTTCATCATAGAGTCTTTGTATCGCCAGCAAGAGGATAGAGAGAGGCAGGACCCAGAGTTACCAGCTGCTCCAGAAGTCTTCTCTGTCACTTCCTCTCTCGCTCCGCCGTACAATGGCATCATCAACCGAACTTTTGAATCTCCAGACAGGAGCTGTGTCTCTACTGAGAGCGAGCAGGAGGAGAGTGAGCAGGTTTATGGATGCCCACGGAAACATTCAGATGTGCCAGCGCCTGTGGGAAACGAAACAGTGGAACGCCCAAATATAAAGAGGCAGATCCTGAAGAATATTGCTGTTTTCCTTATTATGTGTAACATTTCGGTAAGCACTGGTTAACTGGTCTGTGATGATTAGTTTTTTAATAGGTGGAATTGATCGAGCTGATGTAAAATCTACTGACCATTTGAAACTTCATTTGATTAAGTGTATTTTACCCAACAAAATGCGAAGTTCATTTCTTTTTGCTAGGATGACTCCCAAAAGTCAAAAGTTATTATTTGTTCATTTTAAGCTTCTGTAATTAATATATTTGCTATTCACTATTGCCATAGTGGTAAACACAAAGAGGGATTCCATGCCGATCACCCTCATTTTAATATGCTTAAGCCACATTTGTATTGTTTTGGTTTAGTTTCACTACTCTCATCAACAACAGATACAAAACTCTCCATTAAGTGTTATGTGACGTGTAACAATCATTAGCTATAACTGAGATTATAACTAAAGTGAGGACGTTACTAGCTTGTGGTGAAGGTAGTGGAGCACTGAGATATTTTCCTCAGGAGTGATGGTAGCAAAAGTAAAAATAGAGGTAATAGAGACTAATTACAGCATTTTTGGCTAATTGAATTTCAAATATAATAATATAAACAGGCAACTTTAAGCCTTATGAAATGACACTGTTGTGTTTCTACCTTGTTGTTCTGCCCCTAAGTAGCTAAAAGTATATGAATTCAGGTGTATCTAATTAGAGCTCTCTCTTTTTTCCATTTCAGCTGTGGATTCTTTCTGCCTTTGGCTGCAGGCCACAGTATGACAACGGACTGGAAGAGGAGACATACGGCTTCAGCATATGGAGCACAGTTCTCAATTTTGCCATCCCTTTGAACCTTTTCTACCGCATGCATGCAGTTGCCTCCCTCTTCGAGGTGTTCTCCAGAGTCTGACAAAATAGCAGATGACTGACAATGGCAACATGCACACGAACACTTGTCACCACTGGCTCTCGAGAGTGTGTCACAGCGCAGGTCAACCATTCAGGAGGCAGTCTGGATCACAGTCCAACAGACTTGAAAGTAATCTGTGGAGACAAACGTTGATCCCTCACTGTGGGGATTGCAGAGGAGGACAAACCTATTAGACCTGGTTCCTTAAAGAATTAGCTTGTGTAATGCAAGGGTTGTTAAAGCTAGTGATGAAAAAAATATTTGGTTTTATGAATTTAGAAAGGGTTCTTTGTACTTTTTATATTGTAGTAACATTACAGTGGGGTTTCTAACAGGTGGATCATGTACAATATATGCTTTAACTGACATACACTTTCTATATTATTTCATATTAGTGACTGAAAACATAATTACTATTATAAAATAACACCCTACCAACATGATTACCATATATAAAAAGACTGCAGAGGAACTACATAAACACTCATTATTTTCAATATCCAATAGTACTGTATTTAACAGCTACAAGCTCAGCGGTGTGCCACCTGATCCTTACTTTATCTGCATTTAAAATGTTCATACTTTACATGGATAAGGTTCTCATTTGCTTGCCTAAGTAGTTAGGTTAGTGAACACTTAAGTTGTAAGTGCCAATCTAAGCACAAACAAATTAAATCATCTTTTGAGTTGGATATTAGTTCTCAGATGTAGCACTTAATTCCCTTTCTCAGCCATTTAAGGTTCCTCAGTGTCTTACTGCGTTCTCATTTGCTGCTCTGTTGAACTAATCAAGAAGTTGTGTTAAAAAAAGGCTTCTCTTCTGGACCTTGATAACACTGAACTAATGTGCATTAACACGATTGTGCATAAGGATGGGATTTTTGCAAAACAAACTGTTGCAGTGACAACTGCTGCATGGCACTGCGGACTGATGTTTACATCTGAAGAACCAGAAATGAAAACCATCACACTGATATAAATGACAACACTTGCTTCTCCTCTATTAAAACCACAGATATATAATAGTACTGTACTAGTTTGTATCAGATCACCAAATAATCTTAGACATTCAGCAGGTTCTCAGCCTGGTGCCATATACTGTATGTGCTCCCAATATGTGCCAAGTTGTGCAAAATGTTTTGTTTTGCAGATTTTTCTGCCATCTTAGTAAATACTGTTATACTGACCAAAATCATTTAAAGGGTGCGCTATGATTTTGTGAAATTTCAGTTAAATGGTGCTATTGAGAAATGATGTCTAAAGTTAGTGGTAATTTCATATCTCTTTCCTGTTGAAATAAACAAGAACTATCTTTATGTCATGTCGTGTTGCTTAACCTGCTACACACTCTGTTCACTCTTCAATAAAAGTCTGGAAGGGTAACAGATGCAGTGTGCCTACGCACCACAGGATGGCGCAACGTATTTATGTCTTTTGTTGAGACTGCTTTGGATTATCCAAATGATACTGCCTGATAGTCTTCATTTAAATGACTGTTTTACGATTTCTTAAAAAATAAGTGATAAAGATAGGATAGATTTAGATTTGAAGACATACAAAGTTGCAAAGCATACCAACAGCAACGAAGAACTGCACAATTATGCTTCTATTTGTGACTTCAAAATAGAAGTCCTATAGTTTGGTGTTAAATTGGAAATAGTAATCCGCAATATACACTTTGCAAAATATCAGTCATCTTTTGCAGCGACCTCCACACCAACCCGTCTATAGATAACTAACGTGTGCTATCTGCGTAAAAAGGAAATGCAGTGTCGGACACAGGTTGTCTCCTGACATGGCATCACGAGCTTATGTTTATGCTACTTCAGAGAATATGGCATTGAGCGTCGGGGGATGATTTTAACGTTGTGTCAGAACGATTTGACAGGCAGGCGGAGGCGTCTAAAAATATCCGTGACGTTTCAAAGCCGGAAACGGCGCGTCTGCTGCACAGGCACACGACGACGCAGAGCAGCTCCCGGCCTAACATGCTCCCTAGGAGTGTGAATGTGACTCACCTGTTCGGACAACTCGGCTAAATGGGTGGGTTATGACCTTCAGTCGCTGCCGTCGGGAGACAAAAGAATACCGAAAAAAAGAAAAGATAAAAGAATTCTTCCATAGTTGAAAATTACCTTTTTTTTAAATTAATAAGGCAAACGCAATGAAAGTATCGAAGTAGCCTGTCATATTACCTAAAGATGTGTTAGATGGGTTTTATTATTTTCATTATTCACTGAAAATTTTACATAGATAGATAGATGGGGTTCTCAGCTTTCAGCACCACGGACAGTTCTGCACTGTTAGACTACGAGTGAGGCTCCGTTCTTTCACTGTCACTTCATGGGCGTATGTTGTACTTTTGTGTGTATAATATAGATTGTAAATGCGCTCTCTGGACTTTTAATGAAGTTTAATCTTGGACAGAAATGCACAGTGTTGTCTCTCTGAAGTCTGTCGTAATAATAGGGCTTAAATATAAACCAGGCTATAACACTATCCATAACTGGATGAAAACCCGCAGCTGATAGGAAGTTTGTAATTGCTCTCTTTGGAGTACACACACACACACACACACACACACACACACACACACACACACACACACACACACACACACACACACACACACAAGAAAAAAATCCCTGAAAATACCGAATGCTCTCTACCCAGTCCCGACGCAGTGGACGGTTACGCACAGCAGTGTCAGTGTATGCGCACAGCCCTGGCTAAGTTAGTGTGTTGGGACTCCCTCCTTACCCACGCTACGCTCAGGATATCTTGTGCAGAAAGCTTCAAAGTGGAAGCCAGGTCAGACGATCCGACCGTAAAGGCTGCAACATGCGCCCGCCACTACGTGCTGCGTTTCAGCCCCTCAGCGCACCTGACACGTCGCCTGGCTCACTTTTAACACGCGCAATTGTCTCGTTCCCTCTGTTTCGCACTCCACATAAGGCTGGCAGCCAGGCTGATCATTGGGGACAAAACGATGGCTGGCCGATAACTGAGCCCGTCCCCGCGCACGGAGCAATGGACTTCAGTTTTACTTGAAGAAGCAAATGGAGAATCCAGCAAAGTATCTCTCGTCAGTGCAGGGTATTGACTCTGCGCGGGCACCCCTCGGAGAGATTATGTGGAACAGTACTGAAACTGAGGCAAAAAGCGACGGGAGAAGGGATATGGTGGCACGCACAGTGACGGGCTGTCTGCTTTCTCTGCTTATCCTATGGACCCTGCTGGGGAACATCTTGGTGTGTTCCGCGGTGCTGCGCTTTCGGCACCTACGGACCAAAGTCACCAACATTTTCATCGTGTCCCTAGCGCTGTCGGATTTATTCGTAGCCGTCCTGGTTATGCCCTGGAAAGCTGTGGCAGAAGTAGCTGGCTATTGGCCGTTTGGCACTTTCTGTAATGTGTGGGTTGCTTTTGATATTATGTGCTCCACCGCTTCCATCCTTAACCTCTGCATTATCAGCGTGGATAGATACTGGGCCATCTCCAGTCCCTTCCGCTACGAGAGGAAAATGACCCAGCGAGTTGCCTTTGTTATGATTAGCATCACTTGGACGTTGTCTGTGCTCATTTCATTCATACCGGTCCAGCTAAACTGGCACAAAGCCAGCGGTGACGACATGGTTGGGGCGCACAACTCTTCCATAAGTAGGCAGGTAGAGGAAAACTGCGACTCCAGTCTGAGCAGAGAGTATGCGATATCCTCCTCCTTGATAAGTTTTTATATCCCAGTGGCAATTATGATTGTAACATATACCAGGATATATCGGATTGCGCAAATACAAATTAGAAGAATAGCCTCTCTGGAGAGAGCGGCAGAACATGCGCAAAGTTGCAGGACCAACAGAATAGAGTGCCAACACCACAACACACTGAAAACGTCGATTAAACGTGAAACCAAAGTGTTCAAAACTCTGTCGGTGATCATGGGTGTCTTTGTGTGTTGCTGGCTACCTTTCTTCGTTTTAAACTGCATGGTCCCGTTCTGCGACAGGCCGGCGGCAGACCGGGATGCGGGTCTTCCGTGCGTAAGCGAGACGACCTTTGACGTCTTCGTGTGGTTCGGCTGGACCAACTCCTCCCTGAATCCCATCATATACGCCTTCAACGCTGAGTTCAGGAAGGCCTTCGCCAGCCTCTTGGGCTGCCGCTATTTCTGCTCCAACACACCAGTGGAAACTGTTAACATCAGCAACGAGCTGGTGTCGTATAACCAAGATACCCTCATCCACAAAGAAATCGCGAACGCTTATGTGAATATGATCCCCAATGTCGTTGAATGTATCGAGCATGAGGAGACTTTCGACAGGATTTCACAATTTTCTCACAACCACGAAAACGCCACCGACTCGGTTTGTGACCTGGAGGACTGCGAGGCAGACATCAGCCTTGACAGGATGTCACCATTCACACCCAATGGATTACACTGACTCCACACCTTGTCTCTCCCCGTGCGTAACTGGATGTATTGATAATAATTTCATTGTTCACTCAGCTCTTTGCCTCTTCACAGGAGGTTTCTGTGCAGCAGCCCTTGCTTCTGGGTTCAGGGCTGTCTTGGAACCCTCTAACGGACACTTAAGCAGGGGCATGTCTCTGCAGCCACAAGGCCAACCTGACATGAAATGTGATGTTGTCTTGTTGTCTGAAACAAATTTGATGTGTAGGTGTTTATTTAAATGACAAGTGAAGTCTGTGTTCCTTTGTTCAAGGTTTAGTGTTGCTAAAGCTGTTGTTTACTCAGAGGCTTTAATGGCATCATCGTCTAATGTCCATCATGACTGAGGGAAAGTGTTTGTAAAAACAAGACTCTTTGCTGCTTAATAACTTCATGTGTATCCAGTGTTCGCCTTTCCACTGAGTATGAAAACTGGGGGAAAGCCTTACAGACAGTGAAACCAAGACAGTCAAATGCAGTTATTTCAGAGCCTTATAGCTTATTCAAATAACAGCTTTGAGACATAAAAGGAATGTGTCCTGTAGAATTCAAGTTACACAATGCCAAAATGCAGTATTAAAGCGTTTTGCCACTGCACCACCCCAGTGACTCTTCCAACATGCCTGGATGATAAAAATCACATAATCTAATGCTATAAATACAAAAAAGGGGAATCTGTGTGCATTACTACTTTTTGTGATCATTTATTTCTCATTGAGGCCAAAACTACTGTAATGCTTCTGCTTTATGAGCCCGATTCAACTCTGACTGAAATAACTAAAAGGAGAAAGATTGACCAAAGACTTCAAGGAGAGCATTGATAGACACAACAAGGGTGCAGTGTCATGTCAGCTAGAGGAAATGTTACTATAGAAGCCTAAATACATGTGTGGCCATTGGCCCAACACAACTGGATGTCATGCATCACCTCTCCCACATTTCTCTCTTATCTTTGTACTGTACAGATGACCTGATCTGAATGTATACTACTGTCCTTTAAACAGTGAAGTGTGTCATCATTTGTCTAATAAAATGCTGTCATGCATCAGAGTGAGCTGGTATCTTCGCGAACCCGATATTCATGCTAACGGGATTTCAGGTGGTTTCTGTGCAGCTTGGAGAATTTTATTTTAAGCATAACAGGAAGTGAGTTCATTCTTATGCACATCCACATCTGACCCGTTCTTTTGACATGTTTCTTCTTTTGGTATTTTGCATTCTTTGAACATCTTAACAGCTGAGATTGACAGGAAGTGTTGGCAGAGAAACAGCTAGTGAGGGGACATGACATGCACCAGAAGTGCACTCAAAATGAAGAACGTTGTGGTTACTTGGTTGCATGGTATACAAGCTGCTGCCCCACCAAGACTTGATTTGACCTGTCTTCCACAGGTTTGGCCAGCTGGTGTATTTTCTATTACACACGAAGAAAGGTTTGAAGTCACAGTTGTGTAGGTAAGGCAACACAAAGAGCAGAACATGGAAGCGAAGCAGCTCGTTTTTGTACTTACAATTTATTTTTCAGTAAAGCAATATTTTTATTTAATGTAGAAATCAATCAATGTTTAGACATCGTAAATAACATGATATCTGAAGCAAAAGTTTGAATTGCCAGAAACATCTGTTAGTTTAGCCTTTTTTTCCAACAAAAGACAAAACCCACTATGTGAAAATCCCTTCATGGTTTGATCCCTGCATTTGGCACAAGTAAACAGAAAATGCTCCTTTTTGCCACAGTTATCTAGACTGATGCACTCCAACTCAATCATTTGTCTAAAATTGACTTTTGGATTCTGGATACATCAACCTCGGGTTCAATGCTTTACTAGGCTTCAGGATGAGTGACATGTATTGGCCAAAGGAATATGCGAATAGGGAGGGATTAACAATGGAATGACTGCCAGAGAGTACATAATGCATATCATAGCTGTATAAATCATCAACAAAAGAAAGTCTGTGGCAATAATTCAGATTCCTCAGTCTTCTATATTAAATCTGCAATACCACAAGGAAGCTATTTACCGCAACATGTTAATGTACAACAGAAAACACAAGATAATTAATTCCCAAATAACTTCATTTGCATTTTTTGAAAACTTTCTTTTTACTTTGTATGAACTCGGGTTTTTAATATTAACCCAAGATGTTCTGTTCACTGTAATTCATTACCTGATTTATGCTGCCAGTGGTGGAAGAATTATTTAGACAGTGTACTTAAATGGGAACTCTACATTGGTAAGCAGCTTCCTGTAACCCACCTATTAAAAAAAGAACGTTTTTGTCTCTCGGCAGGGAGATGCAAACAGATTCTGCATGACATCTGCGAGTTTTGTTTGAGGTGTCACTTTAAGACACCAAGTTAAAAAAAACAAGCAAACAGAAGAACATGCGGGGCTACTCATGTATGCTTGAGGTTATTTGCCATTATTGGCGTCAGACATTCAAATTTCTGAGAAAACTGAAGCCGGTAAAATTGTGGGTAATACAAGCAGATTTTGAAAAGGAAGAAAACTGAGTTAAAAAAAAAAGACTTTCAACCTGCTTAAAGCGCAAGCTTTATAGTCTGAGTCTGGTGACGTTAGAGGAGTCCAAAACTAAATAAGAGAAAACGCTGTAAAAATATGCAAAAGCATTTAACTTGAGTCAGTCATGCCTTCAAAATAATTTAAAAGCTGTAGTTGTATTTTAATTACTTAATCTAAATCAATCCACTGTATCACGAGTTTATAACAGGCTTCCCATGTAAAATATAAGAAAATATATAATATAATATATATTTACTTTACTTGCTTAAATACTATTACTTATTTTGCTATATAATAAATCAAATATTAATTAAACCACTCAAAAATAGATGTTTTGATGTCTAAACAGTCACATTTTATTTCCTCTGCAGTTCTTTTTTTTATTTGATAAGTGAAATAACGTTTTTAGTGTAGAATTAACTGCTAACAATTACAATAAAGTAAGACATGATAGCACAAAATGGAAAGATATACACTTTTGTTGGCCACACAGACTATCAAGACATAGCTGAAAATTTATAATTCAACAACACTTAAAAAAAACAGGAGTTTAAAGCCTCATTGCATGTCTCAAACCTAAAGTTATAACTCAAGTGATGGAGGAAAAAATAATCTACGTCCAATCCAAATGCGCTCTAAATGACACAGCTGTTCTTCTGCAAAGTATCTCCCTTGACACATTTTTCTTTTCTTTTTTTGTTAGAAATTAAGTTATGTTCCCTCATAAGAGAAAATTTCACACAGATGCCAGGGGAATACAATTAAATGACACTGAGAAGAAAGCCTGTTATAACTGGAGCCCAGAGGCTACTCTTCAATGTTATACTAACCTACCACCTCCTTCCCATTGCTGGTCAGTGTTTCTCTCATTTGGATGAAAGGCGGGTGATGGCAGGAGGGGACTGATAAAACAGGCTGCTTCTGACAGAATTGGAAAGTAGGTGATACCTCAGCAAGAACACATCAGGCTTTGACTGATGATTTAGCAGTGACTGGTACCAACATATTCAGGGCTTAAGGAGTGATGCACTTTGACCCTTCATTTTTCATTAATTGCATCAGGGGTATAATTAAAGTAGGAGGTTTTGATGTCAGATTTCCTGGGTCATGACATCTACTTGAACTGACACAGGAGTAATGACACAAAATTGATGTCTTTTTAAAAAAAAATAAAAAATTTAAGGCTTTTTTTAAGCATTCATTCATTAAATGAGTGAAAAACAGGGAAGTAGAAGAATTCCAGGTTACGAGCTGTTTATTCATTCTCTGCGCTGTGCCATTGCAGTGTGGAACAGATTTGAAAGGTGGTTTGACCTCGATATGCAGGCATGACAGGAGAGCTGGAGAGGAAGTAGAGGCAGGCTTTAGGGGGGTTACACCATCCGTCAGGACACATTCATCAAAATCACTCTGCACGCATGCACACACGCACACACGCACATGCAGCCAGCCACATGAAGCACACGCATTCAGAACATTCAAAACCACCGCTACAAGAGATTTGTTCGAATCTGTCTTTTTTTACCTTGCTAGAAAGTAGACACTACTTTTTTTTTCATTTCACTCCCTCACTGGGTTCTCAGCATGTCTTTTTCCTTATTCTTCAGAAGATTTCAGTCATCTTAGAAAAAGCAGAAGAGGCAGTTGTTTCTTTTCCTTTTTTGAATGGTGTGAGCTGCAAGCAGGGTAAAAGGGCCCTTTAATTACCCTAACTCAAACCTGGCCTGTATTATGGGATAACCCATCACTACCTACAGATGGTAGTTTCAAAATCATGGACAAGTTCCAAAAACGTCGAAAATTAAGTATCAAGCTACGCAGCTTTGTTGACTTTTTTTTAAAACTGAAAAACATGGCTGACTGTGTCACTGCTTCAAACACTGTTTACGTGAAGAAAAAAGTGTTCCCTTTGAAAATATTAAACAGCTACAAGCATGTTTTACAAGGAAAACATCAGCAAAGAGTGCAACAACAATAAAAATAAATGGCAGAAAATTTGCAGCGGCGGTAAACAGTGTTTATCTAGCAGCTGATGTGAACATCAAACTTCTTCAAAAAAAGATTCAAAAAGAAAATGCATGATGCAATGTTGATGCTTTTTACCGGAATTTCTCCACTGAGACTTCAGGGTAGCTGCGTGATCACAGGAACCCGCCAAAGGAAATTGGACATGACAAGTGACAGCCAGGAGGTGAGCACAGGTAACATTTGGCAGGAATTAATATCATGATTTTTTATTTTTTTTAATTTAAAGAAGAAAGGCTATGCTGTGCGATGCTTGTTTAGGTCTGCTACCATGATTAGCTGGTAGAAGTCACTGATTGATACCAGTGTGACTCAGTTCTGAGTTAGCCTCGGGGTAGAGTGGGCTTGAAATAAGTTTGACTGTATTTTTCTAGGAGACTATAATTTGCATTCGTCTACCCCAAGAGTGCAGTAGACTGGTTTGATCATATAGATCAGTATAACATTTCTGAGTGAAATCTCACTAATATTAATGTCTCTCCATCTTATTCCTTCACTTTTCGTCCTATACCGACACTGTCATGTTCCACTCAGACAATGACTCTTTCAACTCCACCAAAGTTTTAACAATTGCATGTTTTTTCTTCTTGAGATAAAAAAAAAAGAAGACTTAGGCTGTCTTTTGAACAGAAGCGCTCTCTTTCAAAATCACCAAAACACTGTTGCATACCTGTATTAGAACAGTTCAACTTTGAAGATCAGACATTCCTCTCTGACACTTTCTTTTAACTGTTGCTGCCATACCATCCTTTTCCTCTCTCTGACGCAGTCTGAGGTTTTGAGTTACTCTGGTGAGCTTGAATGCAGAGACTGACTGGTGTCTATTTCCCCAAAAGGCTCCAGGTCCTGCACAAACTCTCACGTGAGCAGAGCAAAACAGGTGATGTTGAGGCAAGACTCAGTTTGGAGTGTTTGTGGTTTCAGTACAAACAGTTTCTCTCTGAAGGAGAGGGACAGAACAGGAAATACTCAAAAAATACAAGAACAAGAATATACACTTTTAAGGGGAAAAGCAGTTGCCAGTATTTATTTATTTATTAGAATTAGCCAAATGCTATTATTCTAAATATTATTCTGTTATACTGTTTTTGTGATTTGGTGCTATATAAATAAAACTGAATTGATAGGAACACAACAACAACAACTCAAATAACAACTTGTTACAACAAAAGGTATGCACAAGAGCACATCTAAATGCACAATGCATCAAACCTTAAAGCAGAGACAAACATATATTAACATTTTAACAGTGAGGAAGTTTGATAAATTATTTTCATAAGGGCCATCTAGATGTGCAACATAGCATCTTACAAATGCACAGACTGGCTGGAGTTGGCCAGTTTTTTCATGACAGTAATGCTGTCTGTACCAGACATTTAGTGACTTCTACTGAAGGGATCCTGATCAAGTGCCAGTATAGAGCAAGTCTGAAGCCAGATTGCTCTCCTTT